CAGTAGCAATTTTAATAACAGCCATTTCTACATAGTTACTGCAGCTTTCTTGTCTATGCCTAGACCTTCCTCGCCGTTTGGTCTGGGGTCGGGGTTACCCAGGATGCTTCTGTTTTTCAGCCTGAACATGTCAGTGGTCAGAACAAGACCCCAGGCCTGTCCTGTGTGGTCTGTTTATGCCTCTGCTGCTGGTATATGAGTGCCTCCCTCTGTTCAAGTCTGTTGCATAAAAGGGGTTGCTAGGTTACTCTGAATTTCCTTAAGTTTAATGTATTTAAGGGCTATTTTTGTGTTTTGTGCTTAGAGGTCTGAACATGTCCGAGTTTGTCTGTGACCTGTCAGCAAGGCCTTATGTGTATGACCTCATTGCCGTGTCCAATCATTATGGAGCCATGGGGGTTGGCCACTGTAAGTACTGGCAAATGTTCCCTTCTGACATCTTGAAATGCCCTTGGCCAGTCATCTCTCTCCAGCGTCTTCCTGCTGCCAGGCATGGCCTTAAGCATTGACTCACACAGCTTCATGGGACTCAGGTCTTTTCCATACTGTTGCCCCTTCGTTAGTAAAATTTTTTTTGGTTTCCATATTCTTCAATCCAATAATCCCACCTGTGAGAGTCTTTCCTAAGGAAATGACATCGGGAAAAGCCTGATGCACAAAGATATTCCTGTATTTATGACAATGAAAAGTCACAGCACGGTGATCAGCAGCTGGTCCGTCTATCCATCTCCTTGATGGGAGAATTCCCAGCCATTGCAGAACGCAGGGAACCATGTGGCCAGTGCCAGTGGCATGTTGAAAACCACACAAACTCACATCATTACAGAAGGTAGTATCAGCACTAGGTTAAAAACAAAAGCAAAGAAACTATGATTGGGGTTGGAGAAGCTGGGAGGAGTGACACCAGATGTTAATTTTACCTTTCTCTCTTTGCTCTACTTTGTTTTCCAAAATTTCTGTCATGTGTGGGTTTACTTTTATAATGAAAAGGCCTACTACCTTTTCTTACCTGTTCACGGAAAGAGGTTAGGAAGGTCAAGGAGGGAGCTGTTTGCATTTGCCTCCTTCACTGCATCTGCACTGGACCAGCTACCACCACAGCCAGTGCAAGAGGTGACGCCATGGGATGTCAGTTCCATTCATGCTCACAGTGGATTATGGAATTGCCCTAAACCCCGTCTTCACCCCTCTACTGGTGAGCTTTTTCTGTTGGTCCAACAGTCTGCTGTCCTGCTCCTGGGTTCATACTGTGTCATCTACTGGCTCCTGGTGGCTGATCAGTCTCCAGCCCTTCTGTGTACATTCCAGGCTGTCAGAAGAAAGGAGAAAGGGGCACGACCTTCCCTTTTAAGTAGACCTCCAGAAATCCCCCTCATCTCCTCTGCAGACATCTTGGCTGTAACCTGGACACATGGCTACATCTAGCTGTAGGAGAGGCTGGAAAACAAAAATTGTGCCTGTTTGAAAATCGGGGCCCCACTGGAGTGGCTGTTAGGGATCTCTGATGACATCAATCCTGCAGCACTTAACCTCCCACAACTTTTTCTCCCCAAATTAACTTTGATATCTGTTTGTGTTCATGGTCAAATGTACTCATTTTTAACTGCTATTTTAGCATATAAACTTACTTTTTTGGGCAAGTTTCTCATCCATTAGGCTGGTTGTGTGAGGGCCCACATTGGGGCCCCAGTTGGCACTCTAAAATTGAGAGCCACCATACTGCTGTTATGCCAAGTACAAACAGTGGGGACAGGCCCTTGGCACCTACTTTGTCACCTTTTCCTTTGTTCTTCACCACTTTGTACAGGAGGCACGTTAGGAACGGTTAGCACAGCAGGCCGAGACTAGAAACCAGATCTCTGTTAGATTCTGTCATTTCTTCAAGCCTGTGTGGAACAGGAATTGGGCATTGCTGTAGGGATTGCTATTGTAAACACGTCCTGCCTTTCTAGTATAAAATCAAGACAGGAAGTGTTGGCTGTAGGGACTGTTTGGATCATTGTGAGGAGCTGTTACCCAGCCACAGGCTCTGGACTCTCAGATTTAGACAAAGGTAAATTCAAGTCTTACCCACATCCCCGCTCTGCCAACCCAAATGCCCAATGTGTCCCTCACTGGGTCTACCCCACAGGCTTTAGAGGCAGAAATAGCCAACTGCCTGGATAGTGGGGGAGTTTGACTTGGCATGTTCTTTTGAGAACTATTGTTTTGGCCCTGGCCAGGTAGCTCTGTTAGAACATCATCCTGACTCACCAAAGCTGTGGGTTTGATCCCTGATCAAGCCATATAGACAAGAAACAACTGATGAAAACTTAAATAGTGCAACAACAGTCTCTCTCTACCCCCCTCCCGCTCCCCCTTCTTCCCTCCCTCCTTCCCATACTTCTTCCTTTCTCTTTCTAAAATCAATAAATTTTTTAAAAGAGAGAACTATTGTTTTGCTTAAATCTTAAAGTCTCAGCTCCTTGCCCGGCCGGTGTGACTCGGTGTTTGAGAGTCGACCCATGTACCAAGAGGTCGCTGGTTCGATTCTCTTTCAGGGCACATGCCCAGGTTGTGAGCCTGATCCCCAGTGGGGGACATGCAGGAGGCTGCCAGTCGATGTTCTCTCTCATCGATGTTTCTCTCTCTCTTCCTCTTTCTCTCTCTCTCTCTCTTTCTAATACCAATATAGAAAAAAAAACTGTGCCTAATCTATAAGTGAACATGCTTAAAAATGTTAATAAATAGAAATAAGAATATCATTACTTTCAAAAAATAATAATAAAATAAAGTCTCAGTTCCTTTTATGGGTCCCCTGGCTCTGGATTATTGCTCATAACCATCCTGAAATTGACACAGGAATTTTCTATTTTTTAAAATTTCTTTCCTAAAATTACAGTTTAAAGCGTTGGTCCCTGATGGCTCTATTTTTACCCTCTCCAAGCCTTTTTGAGAAGGAACAGATTTTAAAAAGGGATGAGTTATCTTTTGGTTGTAAGTTGTAAATTCCTTTTAGTGTCAGGGTCTGTTTGTTTCATTTTTTGGAGCTTTGTTTAGTGCAGGATCGATCAGCTGGCCAGATTAGCTCTCTGGTGTCTGCTAGAGGTTTCCTTTTGACTTGGCAGACACTGCGTACGCAAAGAACAAGCTGAACGGGAAGTGGTACTACTTCGATGACAGCAACGTGTCCCTGGCCTCTGAGGACCAGATAGTGGTGAGTAGACCCTGATACCTGCTTTCTCCTCTCTCCTTTATGGAGTGTAGCTGGGAAGCATTTCTGGGCCAGTTGGTTATGTAGCCATCCTGATGTGACAGTGGGAGCTGGGAGCTGGGCCATTCCTCTGAGACTTCCTAAATGAGAAGCTTGACCCTTCCCAGGGTTCTGTCACAGGGCACCTGCCTTTACCCACCCCTGGGCGAGGAGCCTTAGGTGGAAGGGCCTTCACGGCTGCCTCTGTGTGTGGGTGCACAGGGCTGGGGCAGGTCCCTGAGGGTGTGATCTGAACAGTGAGAGAAGCTGAAAGAAGGGGTGCTGTTCCAACCAGTTAATGAACCTCTCCCCTCTTGTGTTTTAGACAAAAGCAGCTTATGTGCTGTTTTACCAGCGTCGAGACGACGAGTGTTGTAAGACGCCTTTACCGACCACTTTTCCGGGATCTGATGGAGGGACTAGACCAAGACCAAGCAGCTCACAGCAGGGCCCGGAGGAGGAGGAGGCTTGCAGCATGGACACCAACTGATGCTGCCCCTGCGACCTGCCGCCCCACAGCACCAGTGTAATCCCCAGGATGACATCTTTGACCCCTCTGAAGACTACTAATGTTTGGTCTAAAAACCAGATGAGGAAATTCCCTTCTTTTATGAGCAAAAGAAAAAAAAAAAGACCTTGTTTGTTCAGAAGGGTTATGTCAAGAGGCTGAATTATTTTTCTTTTTAAATAGGTGGTGAGAAATTTCTATAAAACCTGTGGAGCTGTGGAGTGGGGGTTGGGCAGGGGCACACAATGGCATATGTGATGGATAAAGAATGGAAAGGAACACACTGTAATGGGAGTTTGGTGTGGCCAGAACACCTGCTGCAGGCTACCCTGAGTTCCTGGGCTTCTGATCCGGGTGCCAGTTACTGGTCACCCCAGTAGTCTGCCCACAGTAAACAAGACCTCAAGTAAACTTGATGTCCCCTTCTCCCTTGCTGTGATGGCTTTATCGTTCCCTCAAAATCAGCCACTGAAGCCCACTTCTGTTCCCTTGGAGTCATGGAATTTCCAGCTTTCCCCAATGAAGTGAGGATTGTTGTGGGGTCTCCTGCCCATCAGCCCCGAGTGGAACCTAGCAGTTATGTTTCCCCCCACCTCCACATCTTTGATGACTTGACACTGCTGTATACTGTGAGGAACGTTTATTAGCTGTCACTTAAAAGAGTACACAAAACCCCTGGGGACCTGTCCTATCACTACAACTCTCTGGTTGGCTTGAAAACGCCAACCTTCTGGAAGTTTACCAGGGCTTGTAAAGGGCTCCCAATCTTGCCAAGAAGTGAGATCTCCGCCCGTGCAGCCTGGGTACTCTGGTCTGCTCCCCTCATCCCTGGGCCTTGGAGTTCCTTGTACATACTCCCCGTCCCCCCACCCCAATAGTGTGAGGCCCCAGCCTGAGACCCCTGCGCCGTCCGTCGTGCACCCTTGTTTCCCCTCCGTGTGCTGGGTTTGAAGAACTCTGTTCAGGACGTTTTTATCTGACCTTTAACCTGAGCCGTGGCGGTTGGGGCTGGTCCCGGGCACGCACGATCTACCCAGCAGCGACCGTTGGCAGGGCTTTGGCTGGGCAGCGTGGCGGCACTGCTGGGTGAGGATTGCCTGCCCGCGGGCACGGGGGTGTCGGCGAGGGTAGGGAGGCCTGAGAGGCCGGGAAGCCCGGAGGCTGCGGCGGGAGGGGTGGGGCGGGGGCGGGGCCAGCGTCTGGGGCTCCTGCCGATCCACGCAGGGAGGGAAGGGGTGTGGGGCCCCTTGCTCTCGGATGTGTAGCGTGGAGCAAACTCAAGGAAATGGTGGCAGATATCCCATTTGGGGTGGTTTGCAGCCTCGCTGAAACCTCCTCCTCTTGCTCCACATTCCCGACGTGTTACATAATAAAGACGTGGTCGCTTCTAGGGGAAATGTCAGAAAAACTGAGAAGATGCAGAAAGGAGCTGACTGCAGCCATTGACCGGGCCTTTGAAGGAGTCAGACATTCCCAGCAGTGCGCAGGCCGGCAGAGGCCGGAGCCGGACGCCGCGCCGCGCTCGGTGCCCATCCCGGTGCGCGGGCTGCTCTGCCGCAGGCCAGCCGCCGCCGCCGCCGCCCCCTTCGCGCTGGAGAGGGAGGGCCCTGCCTCTGCCCCAAACCCTGCCCCAGGGACTGCAAAGCCACATGCTTTGTGCCCCCAAAGAAAGCCTCTGTCCAGCAAGGAAAACGTACTGGTACATTCCTCGGTTTTGGCATCGGAAAGACAGTTCTGGAGATCGGCAGGAGATGGGGAGAGTTGGAGAAAAGACGGTCTAAGGTGATTCCGGTTTCATAGTTACAAGTAGGAGATCCTGAGTCCCTAAGGCTGCTCCTGCCTGCCCTTGGGAGCTCTAGGACCATCTGGGAAGTTCCAAGCCCCTTTTCAGAACCTGGCCCAGAAAAATGTGTGTGTGTTTGGGTTGAGGGGGTGAGGAGTCCTGGCTGTCGAGCCAGTTATGGTTGAAAGCACTTTGCAGCACCCAAAGGAATAGTGAATATTAAAGAACCTGATTTTTCAGGTCTCTCTCTCTCTCTCTCTCTCTTTTTTTTTTTTTTTTAGAAAGTGGAAAGTAGGGAGGGAGAGAGAAACCTCAAGGTGAGAGTCACACTGATTGGTTGCCTCCTATAGGACCCCGACTGGCAGTGGGGATGGAACCTGCAGCCCAGGTGTGGCCTTGGCCATGAATCGAACCCTCGATCCTTTGATTCAAGGGCTGATGCTCTAATCGCTGAGTCAAACCGACCAGGGTGCAAGTCACATTATTTTTTTATGCCACAAAAACAAAAATCTTAATTCTGGTATCCTTTGCCCACACTGGGACAAGGTGAATGGCTGGCTTCCTCCTTGCTTCTGTTCCCCTGCCCTGCCCCAGAGTTTTCTCAAGTATCCCAGGGTTGAGGTCTCTGGACCTTTCTTTCTCCAAGATAGCTTCAAACGGCCTGGCCTCAGACATGAAACTAAGATTTTGCTATCTTGGCTGCCATGTAGGTAGAGAATGAAGAAGCCATTGAACTAGTTCATCTCTACAAATAATTATCCTGGTTTTCAGAGACTTTAAGGCACAGTCTGTGATGCTCAGGAGTCATTATGAGGATGCTGTTAGCTTCACTGATTTAGCTGTTTCCAGTTGTCCTCTAATCACAGCATAAATGTCAATATAAAGTTACCAGTATGTCCCTGGCCAGTTCGGCTCAGCGGTTGAACGTCGGCCTGCGGACCAAGAGTCCCAGGTTCGGTTTCCGCTAGGGGCACATACCACAAAAATAAAATAAAGTGACCAGTACGTTTTTGGCTTCAAATTACCTAACACTGAGATCCCCTTCATATTTCCTTGAAAGAGGATCTAATTCCCCACATTTTTCTTTTCACCCGGGAGCAGCAGGAAAGATATGGAGAAAGATTTGAAAGTTGACTCAAACATGCCACTCAGCAATTCTAGCCAAGAGGTCACAAAGGATCTGCTGGATATCATCGGTGAGTACCAAGGGGTGCTGTGTCCTCTGCCTGGGAGGAGAGGTTTTTTAATAGGTTCCTGAGTTAGCGGGTAACTTGGAAAAAAAACCACTCTTTTATTTCTCATTCATGTGCTTGGTAGATTAGTTTTGCTCATGGCAGGCTCTACACAGAGCTCTCATGGAGCTGATGGCCTATGGAGTCATTTCAGAAATGTCTAGTTAGAGTGCATCCCTGGAGACGTTACAACAGCTCCAGAACTTGGTGGTTGAGCTTAGATCAGAAGGAAACAGGACATAGACAAAGATGGGGGAGAGTAGTCTTGCTATGGTAGGTAACACGAGAGTAAAAGATATATTAGCCTTGGCTGGTGTGGCTCAGTTGGTTGGGCATTGTCCTGTGCACCAAAAGGTCGCCAGTTCAATTCCTGGTCAGGGCACATGCCTGCCCAGGTTGCAGGCTTGATCCCCAGTAGGGGGCGTGCAGAAGGCAGCCGATCGCTTTGATGCTCTCTCATAAATGTTTCTCTCTCCCCCCTCCCTTCCTCTCTCTAAAATTCAATAAAAAATATTTTTTTTAATTAAAAAAGAAATGTTAGGCGTCAAAAGCTCTGCTGTAATCCCATCATCCAGAGACTATTGCCATAGTGCTGTACATCTGGGCAGACATTTTTTCTACACACACACCTATATTCTGTGGGTGAACTGCGTGAGCCCTGTTTTTAGTGACTCCTATTACACAGTGGACACAGCTCCTAGTTAAGGGATGCATAGCCCTGGGGCTGTCTGAAGCTGCTGGCTCTGCAGGGCCTCCAGGTTGTGGGGAATGAGGGAGATACCTGGTGAGCGGAGGTACTCGCCCTAGACCACAAAGCAAGACCCCTGCCAGCGCACTCCTTTGGTGGACTGAGTCTCCTCCAGTCGTCCCGGGAGGTGGTTACCTCTGTTCACTTTCTGCCGAGGCCCTTGCCAGTGTTGGGCAGCACTTTGATGACTCTGAAATCCCAGTTTTTTCACACTGAGTCTTGTCGTGCCTGCAGGTCAGGGAGCTTCCTGAGAGCCAGGACAAGCATGTGCGCCTCTGTTTTCTCCCGCTCACACATGCTCGAGGACTGGCACATAGTTGGCTCAATAAATGCTGCAGCCCGGCCAGTGTGGCTCAGTGGTTGAGCGTCGACTCATGCACCAAGAGGTCGCCGGTTCGATTCCCGGTCAGGGCACATGCCCAGGTTGTGGGCCCGATCCCCAGTGGGGGGCATGCAGGAGGCGGCCAATCAATGTTCTCTCTCATCGATGTTTCTCTCCCTCTCCCTTCCTCTCTCTCTAAAATCAATAAAGAAAAAAAAATTTTTTTAACTGCTAGAGAAAGGAGGGCACTGAGCCCACTTAAGACTTGGCACTCACTCTGGCAGCCCGCCCGCCCAGGATGCACATGCCTGACTTTGTACCAACCCAGAAGAGCGGCCACCCAGCTGTGGGTTTGCACTTGGATCTGAAATGTCTTTGGAAACCTCTCACTAGAATTGTAATGCTGAATGTTCTTTTTCAGACAGTACAAGCATCCGAACTATTGAAGAATTGGCTGGAAAACTCGAATTTGAAAACGAGCTGAACCGTGTGTGTGATCCCTGCGAAGATTCCCCCTTCACAGAGGAGGCCTGGGCTCTGCTCATGGACGAGAGCCCCCAGAAGGCCATGGAGGCGGACCCTGGCAGCCTCAGGCAGGCTTTCGACGATCACAGTGTCGTGGAGACAGTTCTAGACTTGGAAGAGGACTACAATTTGATGGCCTCTTTTAAATACCACATTGAGTAAGGACAGCTGACTTCGGCTTGGACTTGTACAGCAGGAGGTTGACGTTCGGTGTCTGCAGACGCAGCCACAGTCCAGTCCTGTTATTAAAGGGCTGGGGAATCTGACTTACCGCGCCCTTCCCATCTTGCAACTGTGTCCCATCAAAAAGCTGGGAGCCCAGGTTTTTAGTCCTGTTACTTTGAAATGTTTCTTACTGTTCATTTTTTTCACTTAACATCTGTTTTCTTGTTGTTTTGGTTGGTGTTCAATATACTCAGTACTCAAGGCAGGTGTGGGTTGTGGGCCTCTGCTGTGTCTCTCGGTGTTGTTTCCAGTGAGCCCTTGAAAACATACTGCGGCCACCAGGTGAGCTTGGTGGGCCAGCCCATCCCAGGCCAGCTCAGCCGACGGATGACCTGGGGTTGAGAAGCTCCTCGGCCTTGGCCCTCTGCCACCCTACATACCTCCCTCTCCTTGCTCATTCTGCCTATTCACTGCCTGGGCCCTGTGTCCTCCTCATCTCTAGACCAACCGCCCCTTGATCCCCCCATCCCTGCCCCTGCCCAGCTCAAAACTTCTTGGTTGTGTCAAAGGGGCTGGTAGCATCCCTGGTCCCCTCCTGACAGGACATTGTCATAAGGCCTCCCCACCACACACCCTGCATCAGACGCCCAGGCCCTAGGGGATGGGGCTGGGGAGGAAAAGGTATGTACAGATCCTTCCCACCCACCTTTATGCCTGGACCTTGTCCATCCCACTCTGGGCCTGGAGGCCACCGGGGTTTCCTGGGGCAATGACCCTGCTGGGCGAGACGGGCGGGAGCGGAGGAGGGGCCAGGCCATGCCCTCCTGAGGTCGGCATAGCCCCCAAAGCTTAGCAGGGCTGGCTCCAGTCCCACCCTGAAAAGAAAGGACATCATCATCAGACAAATCCCTCGAAACCATGACATTCCTTCAGGAAACCTAATAAGCTGTTGGGCAGGTTTGCTGCCCTTCAGAAACTGTCAGGGAAGTGCCTCCTGGGCTCGTGGGGGCTGCCCACGCAAACCAGAGAGCTGAGGAGGAAGGCCCGGGCCCAGGGACCCCACACCTGGCCAGGACAGTGTTTGGGCTACTGACGTCACAGAGGGCAGGCTGCAGAGCTGGCCACAGCCCTTCATTACGGGACTGGCGACTCTGGGCTCGCAGGGGAGCCTCGCCCACTCCTTGGCACCTGCCTGCACCCTGAGAACCAGCCCTGGGGAACCATCACTCTGCCCTGCCTGAGGCAGAGTCCAGGACCGAGGACTGTCCCTGCAGGGTGGCCCCTTCAATAAACACAGCCTGTGGCCCTGGCCGGTTTGGCTCAGCAGTTGAAGCGTCAGCCCGTGGATCAGAGAGACCGGGGTTCGGTTCCCGCTAAGAGCATGTACCTCGGTTGCAGTTTGTCCCCGGCCTTGGTTGGGGTTGTGTGGGTGGCGGCCACCTGATGTGTGTCTCTCACATTGATGTTTCTCTCTTCCTCCCTCTCTCCCTCCTGCTCTATCTGAGGGTGAATGCAAAAATGTCCTTGGGTGAGGATTAAAAAAATGAATAAATAATAAAAATGAACACAGCCTGTGGAGTGAAGGGCCGCTTTCCCCTGAGCAGGATGGACAAGAGCAAGCGAGACGACATGCTCACAGATCTCGGCCGCCCTGCCCGCGTGAAGAAGGGGCCGCCTGGATGGAGAGGCCCAGGCTTCACCTGGTGCATCCCGAGCAGTGTGCTGCTGCGGACACTCCCCACAGAGGCTGCAGAACTCAAGCCCCTCCCCCTCCCCTGCCCGCCCCACCCCGGGGGGGGGGGGGAGCTAGACTTAGTGACTTGCTCCCAAGGAATAGAGTAGGGGAAGGAAAAATAGTACATTTATAGGGGGAGGTTAAATGCTGAAGTGACCACCATGGTGTCCTATGGGTGTCACCCACCCCTGACAGGATGTGACAAGAAGGGCGCTCTGCCTCTGGGGTGTTCTTATAAAAAACTCACATCCAGCCCTGGCTGGTTTGGCTCGGCGATTAGAGTGTCAGCCCACGGACTGGAGAGTCCCAGGTTCGGTTCCTGCCAAGAGCCTGTACCTCGGTTGCAGTTTCTCCCTGACCCTGGTTGGGGTCGTGTGGGTGGCAACCACTCGATGTGTCTTTCTCATATCGATGTTTCTCTCTCTTCCTCCCTCTCTCCCTCCGGCTCTATCTGAGGATAAACGCAAGAATGTCCTCGGGTGAGGATAAAAAAAACAAAACTCAGATCCACATAGCCCAGCCAGTGTGGTTCAGTGGACTGAGCGCTGTCCCGTGGACTGAGAAGTCCTGGTTCAATTCCCAGTCAGGGCACATGCCCAGGTTGCAGTCTCCATCCCCAGTATGGGGCCTGCAGGAGTAGCTGATCGATGTTCTCTCTCACATCGATGTTTCTAGCTCTCTCTCTCTCTTCCTCTCTCTCTCTCTAAAAAAATCCATAAAAACATATTTTAAAATATATATTTAAAAATATTATATAAAAAAACCTCACATCGCCCTGGCCAGTTTTGCTCAGTGGTTAGAGTGTTAACCTGTGGACCAATGAGACCTGGGTTCGATTCTGGCCAAGGGCATGTACCTCGGTTGCGGTTCGTCCCCAACCCTGGTCAGGGTTGTGTAGGAGGCAACCAATGTGTCCTTCTCATGTCGATATTTCTCTCTCTGTCTCTCTGTCTCTCTCTCCCTCTTTCCCTCCCTCCCTCCTAATCTGTCTAAAGATAAATGAAAAAATGTCCTCGGGTGAGGATAAAAAAAAAAAATCCACAGCTTAATCATGAGATGAATGTCAGACCACCCCTGAACGGGAGATATTCTGCAGGACACTTGGCCAGTACTCAAGACTGCCAAGGTCATGAAACACAAGAAAAGGCTCAAAAACCTGTCACGGACCAGTGGAGAGAGACTCAGGAGACAATGACAATGTGATGGATGGAACCTTGGAGCAGAAGGAGGACATTAATGGAAAAACTGGTGAAATAGAGCTTCCGGTCAAGATGGTGGGTAGGTAACCACGGTATTGCGTCCTCCCACAACCACATCAAAGTTACAACTAAACTACAGAACAACCATCATTCAAAACCGCCTGACATCGAGCTGAATGGAAGTCCTACAACTACGGAATTAAAGCAGCAGCCACATCGAGACTGGTAGGAGGGGCGGCGGACGGGCTGGTCCCACACCCACGTGTGGCGGATAAAAATCAGGAGGCTCCCGTGGCTGGGAAGGTCCTCCCTGAGGGCTGAGGGGTCCCTGCCCCACACCAGGTGTCCCGCTCAGGGTTCCAGTGCCAGGAAGAGAATCCCCATAACTTCTGGCTGGAAAAACCAGCAGGAACTGAGGCTCAGGGAGGCTGAGGCGGCTGGAGCCCCAGGCAGCTCCTTAAAGGGCCCGCACACGGACTTATCGGACTCTCTCCCTCTAAGCTTGGAGAGGAGGCAGCTCGAGGGGCGCCAGAGACACACAGGGAAGAACTGAGCTGTTTGGCACTGGAGCGAGGGCTGGAGAGGGGGCTTTCTCGGGGACAAACGTGCTGTCAGAGGCCTTTGTTCCTTTGGTGAGCCCTTCCCTGGGGCGGCAGACAGCCACCATATCTGAGACTCCAGCAACCTGGCTCACACTGGTAGCCCCGCCCTTCTGACTCCCTGAGGCCCCGCCCCACCCAACTTTCAGGCCCACCCAAGCTGTTGCCACTTGCTTAACCATAGGATTGGCCTGTCTTGGATCCTGCTTTAGGTTTTTCCTAAATTCTTTCAAACGCGCAGCATCTGGTCTCAGCGAGCCCCATACCTCTCATTAAGTAATACACTGAAACAAACACAGGGAAGCAGCCAAAATGAGGAGACAAAGAAACAGGTCCCAAATGAAAGAACAGAACAAAACCCCAAGAAAAGAACTAAGCAAAATGGAGATAAGCAACCTAACAGATACTGAGTTCAAAATACTGCTTATAAGGATGCTCAATGAACTTAGTGAGAACCTCAGTGAACTTAGGGAGGGCCTCAAGAGCATAAAAAAGGACCAGTTACAAATCATGGATACACAGTTAGAATTGAAGGAGGCATTAACTGAAATAAAGAATAATTTACACAGCTTCAATAATAGAGTATGTAAATCCAAGAAGCAAACCATCGATTTGGAATATAAGGAAGCAAAAAATGCCCAATCAGAACAGCAAAAAGAAAAAAGAATCCAGAAAAAATGAGGATAGTGTAAGGAGCCTCTGGGACAACTTCCAGCGTGCCAACATTCGCATCTTGGGGGTGCCAGAAGGAGAAGAGAGAGAACAAGAAATCGAAAACCTGTTTGAAACAATAATGGCAGAAAACTTTCCTAACTTGGTGAAGGAAACAGACATACAAGTCCAGGAAGCACAGAAAGTCCCAAACAAGATGAACCCCAAGAGGCCCACACCAAGACACATCATCATCAAAATGCAAAAAGTTCAAGACAAAGAGAGAATCTTAAAAGCAGCAAGAGAAAGGTAGCTAGTTACCTACAAGGGAGTTATCCCATTAGGCTGTCAGCTGATTTCTCAAAAGAAACTTTGCAGGCCAGAAGGGAGTGGCAAGAAATATTCAGAGTGATGAAAACCAAGAACCTACAACCAAGATTACTCTATCCTGCAAAGCTGTCATTTAGAATCGATAGACATATAAAAACTTTCCCAGACAAGAAAAAGTTAAAGGAGTTCATCACTACCAAACCATTATCATATGAAATGATGAAGGGTCTTTTTGAAGAAAAAGATAAAATGTATGAACAAACAAAATGGCAATGAATACATATCTATCAACAATGGAATCTACAAACAAAATGAACAGGTAGAACAGAAACATTCTCATAGATACAGAGAACATTTTGTTGGTTGCCAGTTGGGAGGGGGGTTGGAGGAATGGGTGAAAAAGGTGAAGGGATTAAGAAGCACAAATTCATTGCTAGACTGACAAACCTCAAAGGGAAAGGGGTTGGGGGGGTGGAAAGAAATAAACCAAAGAACTTATATGCATAACCAATGGACACAAACAATAGCGTGGGAAAAGGTGGGAGGGGGGCCGGAGTGGGGAGGAGGGGGTCAATGGGGGAAAAATGTGGAACATCTGTAATACATTTTACATCTAACAATAAAGATTTGAACAAAAAAAAAAAAGAAAAACTGGTGAAAACTAAATAAAGGCTGGAGTTTAGTAACTATTTATGTGTTTGTTAGTTTCTTAGTTTTGGCAAATCTGCCCCAGTTATATAAGATGCTAATATTAGGGAAGCTAGGTGAAGGGTATGTACCCTTCACTACCTTTGCAACTTCTCTGCAAATCTCAAGTTATTCCAAGATTTACAATGTATTTTTTAAATGCAGTTGATCCCAAGTTTGTGAAAATGTGTGTATGAGACAAGCACATGTGCAGAAAATTGTCATGGAGGGGACAGGGGGTGAGGTTAGTTTTCTTCTTTTCCTGTATTTTCTAATTTATCTGCAATGGACAAGTATCACTTCTGTAGGAAGAAGAAATAAAGTTGGTTTTTAAAACCCTCACCTCCGCCAGCAGCCACAGACCTTTCTTACCAGGCACCTGCCCATCGGCCACGTGGAGGCTCAGCAGGACCTGACTGGGGAGGCCCCTTCCTGAGGGTGCTGGATCCCAGAGCTGTTTCTCAGAACTCAGAGGGGGTGGCTGCTGGGAATGGCATCTGGTCCTAACCCTAGAAGACTTGAAAAGAGGGTTTTGTCCTGCCTGGGGGGAGATGGTTGCCCTTGAGAACAAGGACGGAGCGTGGGGTTGGGTGGGGCGGGGCACAGGTGCTCCCTGGCAGCACAGACAGGTGTACCTCTGTTTATGTGAAAGTCCAGATTTGCCACAGGGGCATCCATTGTGGAACCCTGGTCCTAGACGCTGTGTAACCACAGCTGTAAGGCATTCTAGTCCCAGATAAGGAAGGGTGGCCTTCTCCCTGGTGACATCCCTCTCTGCATCCCTGGCTCCCTAGGTACCCCAAGGAGACCTTCCTGCCTTTGTCACCTGCTTTGGAGCAGAGGGCAGATGAGTGTCCCTGCACAGAGTGTGGCGGGTCTCCAGGGATTCAGCTGGAGGGGGAACAGGAGAGTAGAACATTTACTCTAATATGACTTCCTCAGATTTCCAGGGAGTGGGGACCAAAGACTTCTCAGAAGGACATTAATAGTCGTGATTGAGGAACTAAAAGTACCTTTCTCTCCCCTGCAGTTCATCTTGGCAGCCAAACAATCACTGAATTGTTTGTGGAAACACCAAACTGCGATTTGGGTTAGCAGAATCAAAATAGAGACAGAGTAGCTTCAAGAATAAATCAGAGCTTTGGAACCTGCTAGTCACAAACTGCAAATTCAAGCCACAGCACAAGGCACGTGGGAAGCTGGGCCCATCAGCCCTGTAAGAGGTTTCCAGTCCCCTGGCTGCCTCCCCCCAGTGTCAATGCCGAAGCCACTAGAAACCAACTGGCTATGCAGACTGGTAGACTTTGCAGCAGTACTTGATGCAGAAGCTGGTCTGTAAATGCTCCTGGGAGAGGCTTGGGGGGCCAGAGGGGATGTCTGGGGGACAGCTGAGGAAGAAGGGACAGGAAAAAGGAGAGAGATGAGTGCATGGCCCACTGAAGGTCACAGCTGAGGCCTGAAAGCAATGCAAGGATTCTCTCAGAGGACAGTTCAAGGAGGCTGTGGGCTGGAAACTGATCCTGCCCCCGGCACAGTCTGGATTTCGAGGTTCCCCACATTCCTGCCGTGGCTTTCTAGCCACATGGGTCTAGAGCAGAGTCTGAACTCGCCAGGTGAGCTCTGGGGCCACTCACTAGTGGGCCTCAGCCTCTGTGTGGCTTCGCTTGGCCTCTGTGTGGCTCCAGCCAGCAAGTCAGGCTCGGAGGCCTACCTTCTCATCTCTGGGTCTCAGGCTTCTGCTCCCTCACCTCCTGCTCCTTCACTAGGGGAGAAGGGGAGCCACCTCCTGGCCCACCTGCTCAGGCTCTTGGCACTCTCTGATGCCAGGGACATATCCAAAGGGATCAGGAGACCAGGAGAAGGTGACAGACAACCTGGGGTCCCCTTTGCGCCCAGGAACCCCATCCTGCCACGGAGGAGTTGTGAGTTGTTAATGATCAAGGAAGCTGATGAAAAGGCAAAAGATTACAATTCGAGCGAATCCCCCTCCTCCTGACCAGCCAGGCAGGGGCTCACCTAGTGCCAGGGTGGAACCTCCTCTAACTGAGGCACCAGAGGACATTTAACATGATGACAAAGGCCAGCAGGAGGCGGGCAAACAAGGGAGCCTGCGCCTGACTGCAGACCCCTGGAGAGGCTGGTATCCTCAGAGCTCCTGAGGGTCTGCTCTGGGGTATGTAGGAGAACATGAATGTTTTAGGTTCCAGCTAAAGATTTATAGAGAACAATGTTTTACTCAGGAAATGTATGTGACAATGAAAGGTCCCAGCACTAGTGGGAAGGGCCCTATGGGGCCCCCTGGAAAATGCCTGCTTGGATGAAGAGGTCAGACCTGAGGCCTGGCATGAAGAAGTTTTCAAAACTGCTAAACCCTGGTAGAAAGCAACTATCTTTTTTGAGGGCAGAAAGGCTGTTGTTTTCTGTTTCTTGTTCCTGGGCCCTTTAGGTGGAGAGGGTTGCTGGGGAGCTGGCCTGGAGACCCCTTCTCAGGAGCCCTTTGGAGCCTCTGATTCAAGACACAAAAACAGGAAGTTGCCGGGGTACCGGAGAGACCACCTTTCAGGACCTGGCTGCAAGGAGCTGTTTGAGTGGCGGGCAATCCCGGCCTCGGTACGTTTCAAGTGTCTAGGAGTGTCAGACACGTGCTGAGGGGACAGTGGGGACGAGGCAGCCACTGATCTTCTGGAGCTTACATTCCACTCCTGCTCCTCTCTGATGGAGCTGTAGGAGACGGTAAAAACAGTAAGGCAGTGGGCAGTGAGCCGGCTGAGCTTCAGCAGAAGAGAGGTCAGAAAAGGCCTCTCCGTAGGTGATATGTGATACTTGAATGTTAAGACAATTAGTTGCTGTCCTTGGCTTCCATTTCATCCTCAGACTGTAGCTGGTGTAGCAGAGGGCGGAGCCCCTAGGTGGCTCTCTGGGTCCAGGCCCATGGACCTCCCACCACATCCCCCCCCCCCCCCCCCAGCCAAATCTCTACCAGCATCCAGAGCCAAAAATGTTGCATGCTCCAGGCACGTGTCTGGGCTGTGTCATGCTCACCAAATCTGGCAGGAACACAGTAGTTTAAAAAAAGCCTCAGGAATAAGGAACAGAATTTCCTTTCCTGGTGATTGCCAGGCAGTGTAATTCTAATTAACTCAGCCTTGTTAAAAGATAAATGTACTGCTCATTCTACAAAGAAGCCAGTTCATGGAACACTGAGTCACTCTGACCTTTGACTGCATGACACAAGATGAAATGCTTCTGGAGGAATACAAGATTTCATAACTCACGGCAGAATCAGGGAACGGCAGGTCCTGCCTTGGCATTAAAGTCAGAGAGACCCTCCCATGAGAAGGCCACAGTCAGCAGGGCCTCAATTAAGACAATTAAACTTTCAACTTAGAGTTATAACAGATTTCCAGAGATGTGCCCCACCCCCACGCCCAGGAGACTTGCTGTTGCCCAGCCCCCGCTCCTCTGTAACCATGTGCGACAGAAAGGCGGTGATCAAAAACGCAGGTATGTCAGAGATGGGACAGGACTCCGTGAAATGTGCTCCTCAGGCACTGGAGAACTGTAACACAGAGGATACTGCTGCCCATATTAGGGAGTTGGACCTTCAGTACCACTCCGCCTGGTGCTGCGTCGTGGGGAGGAGCGTCAGCGATGCCGTGACACATGAAACAAGCTCGGCATCTGCTTCTATCTGGGCCAAGTGACCATTCTGTTCAAATCTCATTAAACGCTGGACTGTACCACACACCAAGAGTGCCATTTCTTCAGCCTTGCCTGAAGAAACACCTCGATCTTGAAACTTTATTGTGTTGTTTTGTACAGGGCATTCTCTAGTCAATTGTGGTGGTTGTAATACAATTAGCAAAACAGCTTACATTTGTATTTATTTTCTTTTCCATACCTCTCTGCCCCAGGTTTTCCCCCCTCAAAATCCATTTCTCCTCCTACCCCCCAACCAAAAAAAAATCTGTTGGAGGAGAAAAAAAGTTTTTTTCCAGGTACAGATTCCTCTGGTTTGCAAGCCTTGTGCTGACCACTCGACAGCCACCGGGAGCCAGTTTGGAAAGAGCTGGAAGGAACCCACTGGCTGAGCCCCTTCCTCCCAGGCCGTCCTTGCGCCAGCAGAGAAAACCAGCAGGGAAGGCAGAGGAGGCTGGCAGAGGGCAGAGTGAAGGGCCAGCCAGTGCAGCCCGGAGAGAAGCCAGGGCAGCCCGAGACAGCCCAAGTCTGCACACCCTTGGCCTCCAAGGGGGTTGCTGCCATTGCCTTGGCTCCCAGCTGCAGGCCACAAGAGGCCCTTGGGCTGGACAGGGGAGTAGGAGCAGCTTAGGCTGGTGCCTGGTACCCCTGCAAAGGCGAAGCAGGAACATTGAACTCTGACCTTTGTGGGATACTCACCCCTGAAAATAAGAAAATATAAAGTAACAAGAACCACAGCTTCCTATAATGGTCCACTCAGAGGTCCCAATATCACTTACTGTATTGGCTTGAAAATGGGCGAATTCTGGAAGCCATCTGTATGGTAAATGGGAACATGGACCCCTTCCCACGCTCCCGCTCCCCGTCCCACCCCGTGGGAATATAGTGCGGGCCCTCTGCAAACCGCCTGAGAGACTTTGGGAACCTGGCCAGAAGAAAGGCCAAAGAGAAACTGCTCCTAGATGTGAGTCTGGATGGCAAACAGCTCGTGTTTTGATCTCATGCAGGTTCCCCTCCCCCATATGCCGTTTTGCTGTTTTCCGAACTCTGTAAAACCCTGTGCTGGGAAAGTCTGGGTGGTGGCCAAACAATAGGCCTTCCGGCGGTTCACGTCATCGGTGCGCACGTAAGTCCTAATAAACCTACGTCTTTCCCACCCAGGCCTCCGAGTTATTTCTTTGGAATCCATAAACAATACACTGAAGTTTTCTGGAAACTCAGCACTTTGCATAACACCGTCTGTTCCAGGAGGATTTTTATTTTCATATAATAAAGGGGAAAAAAAAAACAGTTTGAGAAGGGTGTCGCTTACGAAAATCATCTTGAGAGAAGCCTGAGAAATAAAAAGATGGTGCATTACTACCTATTTGATTTCCGTAAATAAACTGATGAGAGATCAGTTCAATAACTTAATGAAAGAAAAAAAACGGTGCTTTTAAAAGTTTTGTCTTTATTTTTATTACAAAAGAAATACATATGTATTGCCAAAAAAATCAAAAGCTTTAGCAAGATAGAAAGGGAAAGCCAGGCCCATCCAAGCCCACTGCCCACCAGAAGCACCGCAGGGCCACGCGCCCTCGCCAACATGGCTGGAAACAGCCCGGGGGGGAAACAGCCCGGGGGGGAAAGGTGGAGTCATGTTGCTGTGAACGTTGGTGCTCTGGGCATTTGGTGCCTGTCACCTTGTATTATGTCCACTGACCAAAAATGCAAATACTCTGGCAGCTAAACTGAAGAAAAAAACAAAACAAAAAACTGAAGCCCAGAAAGATATTGGTCACGTGTAGGGAATATTATGAAGACACAAAATGTGAGCGCCCTGCTCCCACAGACCTGCAGTTCCGAGGCCTTCTGCTCAGAAGTCGGGTCTCCCTGAGGCCGCCGCCTGCCCTTCACCAACACGACAAACGCGCTGCGGCTGAGCTGCTGCCCCAGCTCTGGCCACCACTTCATTTCAGTAAACAAGGGTGCACTTGTCCCTTATGTTGTTGTGGGCAGCACCTGGTACCCAGAATCCCAGAGCTGCCCCCTTTCTAGCAGGGCCTTTGACTCTAAGGGTCCCAAGCAGGCTTTCTGCTGTTAGCAGCCCAAGTGTTCTGTACTTGGTCTTTCCAGCTGAGACCATGAAACCAGCTGAAGTCACTGAGGGCTGGTCAGAAGCCATCATCGCTGCTATCAAAACCCAGGTCATAGAGCACATTCTTTCCTGGTTGCTTGCACAGAGGAGACTGGGAACATTCAGGGTTGAGGTCACTGAACCAGCTCATTTGGTGGTCGCCCTTGGGGCTGTTGGAAAGCTTGCTATTGCCTTGGGAACAGGACCTGCTGAGCTGCAGGACGGTCCCTTGAACTGCCTCTCCTGTCTTGGGTGTGAGTGCTCCTCCCAGAGCAGGGCAGACTGGTTTTGTGAGGTTCCTGGGGCCACACAGACGCAGGGGCTGCGCAAGGGGTCCCTGCTGCTCTGGGGGGGAACTCTGTGAGTCAGAAGCCAGAGACTGCGGACATTTGGAATTGGAAGCACAGGTTTTGCCTCTGGTTTGCCCTTGCTCTCTGGCTGGAGGCCTGCCTCTGGGGGTTTTCCTGGGCTGCCGCCGGCCTTTCCCCTTTTGCCCTACAGTTCTGCCTGTCTGTCCAGTCACCGACCTGCGCTCACAAGGATCACATGAAAACACGTCTTTGGTTTGACGTTTCTGGATGGTTACAGAATTGTTTAAGTCCAGGGAGATAAGCCGCAAGGCTCCTTGGGAAAGCAGGTCCCTGACACCAGGAACCTGGTGGCCTGGAATGCTGGAGCCATGGTTCTCCGAGCTTGTAGTCATAGGCTGATTCTTGCAGTTAGTCCGCGCGGCCTTGTCCCTGACTCGCCTGCTTCTCTTGCCGCCTCCAACTGCCAGCAGCACAGCCTCTTCCTGGAGAGCTGCCCTCTTTGCTCCCTCACCCCAGACACCAAACTCCCCAGGCCGCAGGGAGCCCATCCTCAGGTCCTGCGCAGCAGAGTGTGCCTGGGCCTGCCCCATAGCTGGCTCCTCGGAGGCATGCTTGTCCTGCCTGGTGAAACTGAGGCTCTGGGCCAGCAGCGGCGAAGTCTGGGAAGTGCTGTCTTTCACATGCCCGCATCCCCGAGACACCGAGAGTAACCTCTTCAGCTCTGCCAGGACACTGGGCACATTCAGCTGGCCCAGCTGCTCACACAGCTGCTGGAAGTCCTTACTCTGCTGGGCAACTAACACTTCAAGGTGCTTCAGGTTGGACTTCATTTCTATAAACTCTGCTTGTCTCTAGGGAAAGGCAGTGAGAAAGAAGCGAGTTACAAACAGTGCAACTCAAAAAGCAAAATCAAATGTGCAAACAAACCAAACGATGTGGGCCAAGCATGGCTACCCTCTGGAGGACAGCCCCTAGGCCCGCATTGTGCTGGAGAACCTTGGCAAAGGAAGCTGGACTCTACCCTGGTCCATTACCAAGGGGCCTGAGTTGTGTTGGCCCCTGTTCTAGGCTGAAAATTCGCAACATTAAAGGTGTCTCTCTGGGCCTTAGTGACAAAGCCAAAAAGACACTTGAGGAAACGAGCTGGGGCCTATACTTACAGCTTCAAATCTCTTCTGCATCTCAAGGCTGGCCTGCTCCATGTTGCCTTTGTCCTGTATCGTTTCCAACACCAGAGCACTCTGGGCCCGTGCAGTTTCTTGCACTAAATACAGAACAATGATAATTCACCTTGTGAAGATGATGTCCAGGCCACAGTGGTGGAGAAAGAGGGGCCAACCTGGCATGGCCACCTGAGCCTGCTGTGCTTGAGCTCAGGACTTGATCCATCCAGCTCTGCCTTGGTGAGAAGAGGAAGCCAGAGGAAGATGCTTCCTCCACTGTCTTCCTCTCTCCCTCCCCAAGGACATCCTAGCCAGGGCAAACTCAACCTCAGCACCTGTTGGGCCCAGACGACAGCACCCACCTCCTTCTTGGCCCTGTTATTAGAGTGATCTTCCTAGAAAGCAGGTATGGTCACGCCTGCTCTGAAATCTTCACTGAAACTTTCAATCGCACCCACGGGTCCCACTTTAAATGGGCTCATCCCCCTCCCCCAGCCTCTCTGCATCCCTGAGCAGTGTTTCTTAAGCAATCTCTCTCCCCACTGGCTGGAGCACTTCTGCTTCTATCCCTGTCACTCTACCCCTTCCTTCCACCACCCCAGTGCAACTCTTCTTCTTCCCAATGCCTGGTCTTCCTTCTGCTCTCAGTCACCTCCTTGGAAAATAGTTCCCGTCTCGCTTGGGTGCTCCTTTGCTCTGCTGGGGGCATTCGCTGTGTGCTCTACTGCACCATCACTTCTCTCCCTCCACGTACTTATCCCGCACTTACACTTGGGCTCTGATGGGCTTGGGGAACTGAGTGTTCGCCACTCAGGACTGACATTGGCTCCCCTCTTTTGCATATGGGATTTTACACACATACATTTAATAACACATTGTTGCAACTGATTATTGCCATCCTCTTGCTAAACTGCAGGTCATGTGAAAATGCTCTTACATTTATTCAACACCTACTTTAGATAAATAAATTAAAAAAAGATCCTCAGAATGATGATAATGATAAGTCCTAAAACTAGGATCTAAAGAACGATCAGCCAGATCTGGAGCTACAAGACTGTAATGACAATAGTCAAGTAAACAAACATGCACAGAACATTGCAATAAATGCTTTGATAGGGATTATAACAACGAGAGGGCCGGGCACCTACTTTAGGTAAATAAGGTCATCAGAGATGGAGACATTTAGGGCAAAACCAGAGGAAGGAAAAGGAGCTGGCCCTGCAAAGACCAGAGAAGGTTGTTCAGGTGCAGGAAGCAGCAAGTGACAAAGCTCTGAAGCAAAAGGAAGAGCCTGTTACGGCTGGGAGCAGACAAGCCAGGGTAGTCTTCCAAAAGCTCGTGGTATGTGTATTTTACCTCAATAAAAACATAAGAAATGTTTAGAAAACAAATTTTCTCCTATTGCTCAATGCAAGTTAAATTCCATGTGTCAACCAGTTAGAAAAAGGATGTTTACTTATATTTCCAGTATTGGATTCCTGTTCATAAACTCAATTAGTCAAATATTTTCCCAGACATCCATATAGATATTTGTAGTAGAAAGCAAACGTAATTATCCTATCCTAGATGAGTTCCTAAATAGCAATGTTTCTTAGCAACAGTGAACATTACCAACCACAAAAGCAGAGAATGAGGAAGGCAAGCAAAGTGTTCAGTTCTAGATTCAGTGTTCAGAAAACACCTGTCTGTGGTCCCACATACTCTTTCCTTGTCCCCGGAGAAACATACCTTCTTTACAGGAGCTTTTGTATTAAGCTCATTCCTTCCAAAGTCTAGTCTTTTTTTCTTTTTCCTTTAAAATGTTTATTTCTGAAAATAACTCAAAACCATAACAGTATAATACAATGATAAATTACCAAACTTTCCCATGCAGACCTTGGTTCCACTTTCTGGATTTAACATTATGAGCAGTTTCTTGAATTTTGCATTAATATATATGCATATCCACATAAATAGATCCTGTGTGTGTGTTCTCTAGAAGGGAACTCATTTCATTTCTGCTTTGGCTATAAACAGATATTTTTAGCTTTTTCGGTAAAAATCCCATTTTAAATCCATTTCCATATTCCGGACAATATCTCTGCCTCCTTGAGAAGAGGATATGTAAAACAGTTTCTATTTTAGTGATTTGATAAAGGCTCCATTGAGATGAGACAGATTCTGATGCTTTCCCACTGGCGGCCAGTGACTTTCCTTTGACTCTGTGGTTTTGCTCTCCCAGCTGTCCTGAGCCTGAGCAAAGGTCTGGGAGCCCCGTCTATGAAAGAAGATTCCTTAGCCCCCTCCCCCCCCTTTTTTCAGGATACCTTTCCCAATTTTCCCTGACTGGCCACACTCCTCTGTGAGATATGTCCTGGAGCAAACCGGTACACAGGAGCTGTTTTCATTTATCAATGAATAGATATTTCCACTCCAACATGGTTCATATAGACGGGCCTCATTCTCTAAACAATTATATGTGTGCTGCTTAGAAAGACATTTCTCTCTCTAAAATTATAAAAATGTTGTCCATGCTTTCTTTTTTTGTTTGTTTGTTTTTTTGGGTTTTTTTATCCTCACCCGAGGACATTTTTCCATTTTTTGTTCAGATAGAGCGGGAGGGAGGGAGAGGAAGGGAGAGAGAGAGAGAAACATCGATGTGAAGGGACACATCGAGTGGCTGCCACCTGCATGACCAACCAGGGCTGGGGACAAACTGCAACCAAGGTACGTGCCCTTAGCAGGAACCGAACCCGGGTCTCTCAGGACTGCAGGCCGACGCTCCAACCGCTGAGCCAAACCAGCCAGGGCTGTCCATGCTTTCTTATAGTTCTTTTTTATATATACTTTTTTCTTTTTCTTATAGTTCTTTTTATAATTATATTAATATATCAAGTCACATGGAATGAATTTTGTTGTAAGAGTTATCTATTTTCCAAAAGAAATGTTTTCTAATTTTTGGTAGTGCTTCCTTCTTTTTATTATTTTCCTGATGATCATATTTTCAAAAAACTGATCCCTATGAGGTGAAAGTGCTGCTCTCTAATCAGCTCACCTAAACCCAAGACAAAGTAGGATGCGGAAGGCCTTGCTGATTCCGTTCACCACTCTGGCCCTGGGTGTCCTCGGCGAAGAACAAGAGGAGCTAAGGCTGAATGGCTGAAGAGGCAGGTGTGACTGGGCAAGACCTCAGACCTCGGTCTGCGGAGGCTCCAGTTCACAGCGCTTTCCGCCGGCTTCCCCTTGCCTTGGAGCTCGGGGTGCGCACGGACAGCTGCAGAAGGCTCGGAGTTCAGAGCCCTAGCCGCTGGACTGGGCCTGGCTGTACGACAGAGGATGTCCAGTTCCTCTCTCCATGACTAACTTCCTGCTCCTGATCACTATCTACCAAGAAAGGGAATGACTGAGGACAGGCTACTTGTGCCCATTTCCAAGAATGACCTGGCTTTCTAATTCATATGATGTCACAGTGTTTGTTACTGCTTATCCTATCAGTGTAGCTCCCTCTCCTAAGTCCTACCCTCTGACAACTAAGGAGCCATGATGGGTGAAGGATCAGGATCCCCATGCCTACTATAAGCCAGACTCAGTTCCAGTCCTCTCTCTGCCCTGACCTTGCATTGGGGCCTTGGGCACTCGATTCCCGGTTTGTACCTTAAATGTCACAGCTTAGCTGCAATCCTCCTTTTCGTACTTCATATAGTTTTAAATATAGAAAGCAAAAGGAATGCTTTCCTTGGACACGTAGAAATAGTTTTCTATCATCTTACTCAAAGAAAACATTCCTGATTTGTTTCTGCTCTTTATCTTGCTCCTTCTTGTGAGGAGGGTAACAGTTCTAGGCTTCCAGAACCGGTTTCCAAACAGACGCTCAGTTGCCCTATGTGTGGGATACCCAGGTTGGAAGCCAGCAGGCAGTACAGAGCTTCTTTGCAGACATATGGGGATTAATTTCTAAGCCACACAAAGGCATTACTTTTTATAAATCATGAGCAATCCATCCCATGGCATTTGAATAAGTTGGCTTCAATTTGTTTAAACTGGAAAATAAACACACAGACAAATGCAAACAAGTGCAGATGCAGCCACCATCTTGCTGTTTAGTTGTTGGTTCCAGAGAGTGTCCGCCTAAAGAGAGCTGTGTATTGGCTCTCTCGTGTTTATTAAGGGCTGGGACCACAGTTTCAGCTAAACATAAATCACTAACTGGCAGAGCAGGGGACTTTACAAGCTACAAATTGTAACTGAAGTTGAGCAAGATTCTGTGATTCACTATAAAAGGTCTCACTGAAACCAAGGCAGCAAGAACAGTGGTGATTGGAGTATTTCTAAATCCTAAGGGAGCGGTTTCCTTATTTCTAAGTCCTAAGGGAGCAGTGCCTTTATAGACAGCACAGCCAACAATTCATTTGAGACTCGGGGATGCTGCTGATTTACTTCAGGCAGTGAGATGAGAAATCTGGGAGAGCTACCAGTGGGGTTACTAGAGGAGGATTAGTACTTCGCGGAAGGCATCTAGGGACAGGGGCATTCCCACACAGAGCTGGGTCCCACTATGGTTTATTTATCTATTTTTTCCCAGCCCCACTACCCAGTTTAGTGTGTGCGTCACCTCTCTTCAGGACTAACATTCCGTACCCAACCTCTCATCTGAATCTCAGTATGGAACCTCACTACTGGCAGAAACCTGGCTAGGGTCAGCAAGTTCACGTTCTCTGCTCACCAGTGCCCTCTGCTGATGACCTCAAACAGGAGACACTCACATGTCTTGGCCACAGTCTCCAAAGAATCCAAAATAGACTGGCTTCTTAAACTGAGATGTTCCTCAGACTTTTCTACGGAAGTCTGCAACTAAGAAATTCAAAATTAAAAAATCCACAGACTGTTGCCTTATTTTACTAACTTGGAGAATTGTCATTTAATGATAAAAAGTTGTTAATATATTGTTATTCTACATGAACTAAAGTCAGTACAACATAATTATTAAACTTCTCAAAATGTAAGATGTTCTAACTTTGAAATGTAGCGATACTTACTTTGTGAATGCTTTCTCTGACATGGGAAATGAAGTTGTGTAGAGTCTCACTAGAATAGGAGAGAAAAAAGAAAACAAATCTTTGTGAAATATTGAAACAATGTGTAACAGAATTGACTCCGTGAACATGGCAGGCATCCACCTAGTGTAGCATCAAAACAGCCCTTGATCGGTGTTGGAGACCCTGAGAAACCGTAGTGTTCAGCTGGAAAAAGGAGAACATAGACTTTTCATGACCATTTCCAAGGCAAACCACTTTTTTAAAAATGAACTCTATATGTGCCTTAAATGAGGTTAAATGTTAACAACTTAAGTGGTTACTCCAGGAGAACAGGCAGGCTTTGACAGTTATGTGCCTACGTTTTAGTAACTAAGTTTTAGTCAACAATGGCCTGTGTGTTACATGTCTTTGACTATGTGATCCCATATGATTTTAATGGAGATGGGAAATTCCTATCACCTAGTGGCTCCTAACTCCTGGATACATTTTAGTCTAATGACTATTATTTTGATTATAAGAATGAGGCAGTAGGGAGACAATTTTGGGAACAATATTAATTTCTAATGAAAAAGAAACTATCACAATTATTTTTCAAATAAATATCCTGCTTTTGAAAAGATTCAGACATGGATGGTCATTTAAACATGTTACAGATTTTGTTCATTTAATCTATATAATACAGATACAACTATCAATTTTAAAACTCCAGTAGGACAACTCTTCATACAGTTTTTTGCATGCTTCACGAGACTGACTTTGAAAGGAGAATTTAATAGAACCATTTGGAAATCTACAACCATATGTTTTTTGTTCTGTTTTGTTTTTCTTTTTAATCTTCACTGGAGGATATTTTTCCATTTATCTTCAGATAGAGTGGGAGGCAGGGAGGGAAGGGGAGAGAGAGACATCGATGTGAAACAGATGCATCGATTGGTTGCCTCCCACATGACCCCGACCAGGGCCAGAGATTGAACTGCAACCAAGTTACATGTCCTTGACTGGAATCAAACCCACAACTCTTTGGTCCACAGGCTGATGCTCTAACTGCTGAGCAAAACCAGCCATGGCCAACTATATGTTGTTGTTGTTTTTATCCTCACCTGAGGACATTTGTCCATTTTTGTTCAGATAGAGTGGGAGGGAGAGAGAGGAAGAGAGAGAGAGAAACTTCGACGTGAAAGGGACATATCGAATGGCTGCCTCCCACACGACCCCAACCAGGGCAGGGGGTGAACTGCAACTGAGGTACGTGCCCTTGGCCAGAATCAAACCCGGGACTCATTGGTCTGCGGGTCAACGCTCTAACCGCTGATCCAAACCGACCAGGGCGATGTTTTTTTTTTGTTTTTTGTTTTTTAATGAAAGAGTTTGGCACATTATTTGTAAAAATATATATATATTAAAAATAAAAATGTTAATGAATTAGGGATGTTAAGAACAGAATGTTATTAAAGTATAAGAGCAGAGAATATGGGTACCTAGAAATTTAATATAGCAGAAATTAAGCAAGTATAATAGTAAGAAATACAGTAGAAATAGAAATAGAGATAGACATATGGTAGAAATAGCTAAAGAAATATGATAGAAAACAAAACAAAAGACAAAGAGATGGAAAATAGTTTTTAAAAATTAGAGGATCAATGCAGGAGATCTCCCACATACCCAAAATTGGAGATACAGAAAGAAAGAAAGAAGAGTAAAAATAGAAGGGGATTTTCAGAGGTATAAAAATTCCCAGAACTGAAAGACATAAATTTATAAGTTAAAAGGAACTACCCAATGCCCAAGGATTATGACATGCCACATCAAAGCACATTACTGTAAAATTTCAAAACTCTATGGATAATGAGAAGATCCTAAACACTTCCAGAAAGAAAAAAGAAAAAATTGACATACACAGGATCAAGGATCAGAATGGCATCAGACTTTTTGTTTGTTATTATCCTTACCCAAGGACATTTTTCCATTTTTTGTTCAGATAGAGTGGGAGGGAGAGAGAGAGAGAGAGAAACATCGATGTGAAAGATACACATCGAGTGGCTGCCACCTGCATGACCCAACCAGGGCCAGGGACAAACTGCAACCGAGATACGTGCTGTTAGGAACCAAATCCGGGTCTCTCTGGATCGCAGGCTGATGCTCTAACCGCTGAGCTAAACTGGCCAGGGCAGCATCAGACTTTTTAATAGCAACATATAAAGCAATAGGGCAATGGAGCACTGCTTTAGAAATGTTGAAGAAAAATAATTTCCAATCTAGAATTCTATATCCAGCCTAATTTGCCATCAAGTATGAGGGGAAAATAACAATTTCAGGTACACAAGTTCTCAAAAAATTGTTTAGGTTCCATGTACTTGTTGCCAGGAAGTTTCTAGAATATATGCTTCACCAAATCCAAGGAGTAAACCAAGAAAGAAGAGGCCATAGGATTCAAGTAACAGAGGATCCAACTCAGATGACAGCTGCGCTATGGACTAAGAGTACCAAGTTCAGATTGGAATTGGGAAGGATGCCTCTGAGAAGAAAATGACACAGAGAATTTCTGATGTGTTTAAATATGTAAGAAGGAGCTTTTCAGTTTGGCTGCAGAATTTGGGGATAGATTTATGAATCCTACATAGAAAACTAAACAAAAAAGAAAACAAGGCAATTTTGAACATTAGAAAAATGTAATCATAGTATATGTAATTTTTCTGGGCTCTCTATAGTGGTTACAGAGTGATAAGGATGTAAAGATTGAAAACTTATTGTTATCATTAAATTTTTTTTTCTTTATTGATTTTAGAGAGAGAGAAAAGGAGAGGGAGAGAGAGATAGAAACATCAATGAGAGAGAACATTGATTGGCCGCCTCCTTCAAGCCCCACACTGGGGATTGGGCCCACAACCTGGGCATGTGCCCTGACTGGAAATTGAACCGGCGACCTCTTGGTGCATGGGTCAATGCTCAACCAACAAGTCCTTTCTTGAAAATGTTTATAGCCCGGCTGGTGTGGCTCAGTAGTTGAACATCGAACCCATGTACCAGGAAGTCGCTAGTTCTATTCCTGGTTAGGTCACATGCCCATGTTGTTCAGTCCCCAGTGGGGGGCATGCAGGAGACAGCCAATCGATGTTCTCTCTCACTGATGTTTCTCTTTCTCATTCCCTCTCTCTTTAAAATCAATAATAAGAAAAAAAAACTCTTTAGGAGTTTCTAGTTTAAAAAAAAAAATGTTTACAAGAACCCCCTCACCCCCCCCCGCCCGCCAGTAGCTTATCATTTCATTCTCAATGGCTGTTGCATAGCAAACATTTTATTTATTTATTTATTTTTTTATCCTCACCCGAGGACATTTTTCCATTTTTTGTACAGATAGAGTGGGAGGGAGAGAGAGGAAGAGAGAGAGAAACATCGACGTGAAAGGGACACATCGAGTGGCCGCCACCCTCACGACCAACCAGGGCTGGGGACAAACTGCAACCGAAGTATGTGCCTTTAGCGGGAACCGAACCCGGGTCTCTCCGGACCGCAGACCGATGCTCTAACCGCCGAGCCAAACTGGCCAGGGCCATAGCAAACATTTTAAATTTTGGTTAAAAACAAACAAAAATCCCAGGAAACTCAAAACTAGAATTTTCATACTTTGGAGTCAGGTTTCCTTCCCAATCCACCTGCTACCATTTACTTTTCAGAATGCTCAGATGCTACATGCTCTCTGCTCAAGGATTTTAGTTACATTCAGTGGGAGAGACACAGTATGTTTACTCCATTTTACCCCGAATCAGAACCCATTCCAATATAATTTTTAAAATTATTTTTCCATTTAAATGAACTTGTTTCTGTTGCTTACAAATAATAACTCTGGCACAGTTGTATAATTTATCCATCGTATATGTGTCCCCCTAACCAGACAGAGAACTTCAAAGACAGTTACCATTATTCTTTCCCTTGTGGGCCTAGCACAGTGTTTATTGAGTGAATGAATGATCAAATTTCACCATGGTGATCAACAATCATTGAAAGAACATGGTTATTTTTATTATCTATTTGTGGTCCTTAGCTTATTTATTAGTTATGAGATTAATCTGTTTTCTCAAATATTACAGATAAAAATAAATAATCTGGGTAATGGCCATCCATTGTTTGGTGTGTCCAGCATCCTCCTCTAATGAGGAACTGCTTCTTTCTGCATCCAAAAAGTGACTTCCAGTCATGCCCCTTTGCTCACCCCCATGACCTAAGCAAGCCAATCAGAAGCCTTCACTAGGATTTTTCAAATAAGACTCTCTTCCTCTGTGTTAGTAGAAAGCTGGTCTCTATTAGGAGAGAATAAAGTATAGATGGAGAGAGAAGCACAGACAAGAGATGGATTCTTATTCCATTTCATTCTCTATCCTTCCCAGATTGATTAAGAAAGATAATATATCCTCCTTTTCAAAGCTAGTTTGAGGTGGGTTTCTGCTGAATGATTAAGGTTTCTTTTGAGATTTCTTCACCTCTTTCTATAAGTTTTGAAAAATATGTAATTTCAAAACACAATATGTAAATACATTTTCTTATTGGTTTGTAGCATCTCTTGTGTTTGAACTCTGTAGCATGGTTTATCACTTTCCTGATTCCAAATTTACAGTAGTATGCTTTCTCTTTATCATTTTAAAATTTCTCACTCCATCTTACCACATTTTTTTTTTTAATCCTCATCCGAGGACATTTTTCCTTTTTTCCTTGGTTCAGATAGAGTGGAAGGGAGGGAGGGAGAGGAAGAGAGAGAGAGAGAGAGAGAAACATCGACGTGAAAGGGACACATCGAGGGGCTGCCACCCGCACGACCAACCAGGGCCAGGGACAAACTGCTACCGAGGTACATGCCCTTAGCGGGAACCAAACCCGGGTCTCTCTGGACCGCAGGCTGACGCTCTAACCGCTGAGCCAAACCGGCCAGGGCCATCTTACCACATTTTTGACAAGCACTTATTGACAGAAAGCAAGGAATCTAAAATCTTGGGTTTTGTTTTTGCCAGAATGAATTAAAATTATTATTTTCTGCCTATCATATAAGTCAATATCTTAAGCTCGAATTTTATTTTTTCTTGCAAAAAGCTTTATGGTTTCCATTTGGTCCAATGCATGGGAGAAGGCTCTAGGGTAGTTAAAAGGATGCCCAGTGGTTTCAGGGAGAGGCTCAGGAAAAAGCCAGACACTAGGGAGATGCAGAGGGGCCCCTCAAAGGCTTCTGAGCCCCAAAGGCTTCTAGTAGTGACTGAGGAAGAGTATTAATAAGACATAATTGCCCGCCCGGCCTGGGGGCTGGCCAACCTGCAGAGATTAGTCAGGTGCTCAGACCATTTTCTTGATGAGTTTCACCTCCTCATCCAGGAAGTGGTTCTCCAGGAAATCACGGAGATCAGGGTCTGTGCAGGTAGGACCCAGTGCCTGCAGATCTAAAAGGGCCAGGTTCAGATTCTCCATGACTATGGCGGCTTCCACGACGTCCTGAGTTTCATTCCCACTGATCTTGGGAAGGCTGCAGCACATCCTGGAAGAGGACACTGCCCCCATGCTGGTTTTGCATCTTTACGAGGTGCTGGGCACCCTAGAGCTTCTCCTCAGCCAAATCACAGAAGAAGTGGTCCAGGCCCTCCAGAGCCACATCATCATGGTCGAAATAGAAGCCTAGAGAGAGGTAGGTGTGGGAGGCCCACAGATGCAGGGTGACCAGGCAGTTGATGGCAGCCTCCACCTCGGTAGAATAATTCTGACAAATTTGGGAGCTCATGGTTGTTCAGCAGTAGGGAGTTAATGTCAAAATACGGTGTTGGCCCTGGCCGGTTTGGCTCAGCGGTTAGAGCATCCACCTGCGGTCCTGAGAGACCCGGGTTCGGTTCCCGCTAAGGGCATGTACCTCGGTTGCAGTTTGTCCCCGGCCCTGGTCGGTTGTGTGGGTGGCAGCCACTCAATGTGTTCCTTTCACATCGATGTTTCTCTCTCTCTCTCTCTCTCTCTCTCTCTCTCTCTCTCTGTTCCTCTCTCTCCCTCCCACTCTATCTGAACAAAAAAGGGAAAAATGTCCTCGGGTGAGGATAAAAAAAAAAAAAAATACGGTGTTGGCTGGTCTCAGAGGCTGAGGTTGGCTAAGGTGGGGGTTGGAGGGTGGTCAGAGGCTGGAAGAAAGGGCATCCCTGGGTCTGTCTCATCTACTGTTGATGCAAGAGAGATCCAGGGGAGTACCGAGGGCACTGCCTCGAATTCTTTTTAATGGGGAGAAATTATCCGGAGTCCTCATGATTTGTTTTCTCTACATAAATACTCTCTATATATTTTGCCGTCTTGTAAATAATTAACAGAAATTCATTTCACTACAAAAAAGAGAGAAGGAAATGAAACAAAGAAAGGAAAAGGAAGGAAGGAAGGAAGGAAGGAAGGAAATATCAAGTGGTACTCAAAGTTTCTATAAATTTTTTTCAGTTCAGAAATATTGATTAAGCAAAATATAATCCAAAGGCCCAGAGAACAAAAACATTAAGACTGATCTATCTGAGGCAGTAAGAGGGCGTGGGCAGCCTGTCTGTGTGCAGTACCCAACATGGCCTTGGGGGCCTGAGAAACTGCTAGGTGCTGGATTTCTAAGGGAAAGAGTCTGTCAAAGTCTGGGAAATGTTTATTTATCAAAGTCTTCAAATAGAGCATTTTGCTTTTCTAACTAAAAGAAGATAGTTATATAGTATAATACATACCTAGTCTAGGAATTTTTAAAAGAAATTCTGGCTCTTTCAACATCAAAGCACTAGTGGTGATACCAAGCAATACATATACACTGCCACAGGAATAACAAACTATATCTCTGCTTGGGTGTTATGATTTCTGTGCTCCCTAAAGATGTTGCCTTGATAATAATTTACCACCAAGAAATGAACAAGTTAATTTCCTCAGTGACCTCAATTTTTTTAATTAACAATATATCACATATTTGTTTTAAAAATCAATATAACACTAACAAATAAGAATATGTATAAAATTTAGAACTGTCTGAAAAAATAGCAACATTTCCAAGTGAGAAAGTCAGCCTGAACTAAGGACTTAAGAATTCACGTTCTCTGTTCTTGATCCTAAAACAAATAATGTTATCTTATTTCCTAATTCTGATGATCTGAAAAGAAAACAAATTAAAAGGCAGAATTTTGGGTAGACTAAACGTAATACTATTTGAATGTTGCATTTCTCTAAGAAGTCCTTCAGCTCGCTTTTCAGAGGGGCCAAAGCTGTGGCAGCCAATTCCAATCTGCCACAAGTTACACTGACACTAAAGCAAGTCAAGAGTTAATTACTAGATGAGCTGGAAAAGCCAGCCGATCCTGCTGGGATGGAACCCTTCGCTACTGGCATTGCATTTTCTGTTTCCTCATAAAGGAGGAGCTGTCTTGTCTACTTGAAAGGCTTGTGTACCTGTCACATTTGTCTTTTGCTCTCTTCTTTTTCTCCTCAAATTGTTCCAAGAGGCCTTTTGATTTTCCAACTGGCAAAGGAAGAGGAAATAAGCCTCCATCTTTTGGATCTTCTCCAAACAGCTGGGGTTTTGTCTGGTACTTTGTGAAAATATTAGGTTCACTCTGTTAAATAAAAAAATAATAATCATTATAGTATTTCAGATATAAAAATACCTATAACATTCACTATTTTCTATACAATGAAGTCACATTTACGTGCAGACCATAATACTAACAACACAGCATATAGTATTTCCTTTTTATTTCATATATGCAAGAAAATTGTATTAAAATAAAGCAACTCTTTTTATTAATATAGTTTCTGCCTTACTGGCCCAGAGATATATACAATGTCAGTTAAAATGGCTTAATATCAAATTATAAATTTAAAGGCAACAACAGATAATTATTTTTTCCATCAAGTATTTTATGTATATATATATATTTAAAATTTTTTAATTATAGCTGATAAACTATATATATATATATTTGTTGTTGTTGTTGTTGTTGTTGTTTTGTTTTTTTAATCCTCACCCGAGGACATTTTTCCATTTTTTGTTCAGGTAGAGTGGGAGGGAGAGAGAGGAAGAGAGAGAGAGAGAGAAACATCGATGTGAAAGGGACACATCGAGTGGCTGCCACCCGCACGACCAACCAGGGCCGGGGACAAACTGCAACCGAGGTACGCGCCCTTAGCGGGAACCGAACCCGGGTCTCTCAGGTCCGCAGGCCGACGCTCCAACGGCTGAGCCAAACCGGCCAGGGCTATATATATATTTTTTATCCTCACCTGAGGACATTTTTCCATTTTTTGTTCAGCTAGAATGGGAGGGAGAGAAAGGAAGAGAGAGAGAGAAAGAGAGAGAAACATCAATGTGAAAGGGACACATGGAGTGGTCGCCACCCACATGACCCAACCAGGGCCGGGGACAAACTGCAACCAAGGTACGTGCCCTTAGCGGGAACCGAACCCAGGTCTCTGGACCACAGGCCAACGCTCTAACCGCTGAGCTAAACTGGCCAGGGCCATACCCTACTAATTTAAAGCACTGACCTCATCTTACTCATTCAGTTTCTATTTGATGCAGATAAGTTTGTATATAAAGTCAAATCTAGTTCTAAACCAAAATATATAAAAATATTTCTGACTCACAAAAAAAACATGCTGGTCTTATAAAAAAAAATCAAGAACTTAAGAGACTTGGTTCCTTATTCTGGGTCTTATTCATTAACTTGGGCCTTAGAATCCTTATCTTCTTCAAGGAGGTAACATAGCATAGTAGACTAAAATCCACAAAGCATCTGAAGTTTCTTAGAAAAAAAATGTTCATCTAAAATAAAGTTTGTGTTACTTTATTCCAATTTTTTTAAAGTTCTTTTTTCTCAAGAAATTTTTATAAGTAATAGTATGCCTAGTCTTAGAAAATATCATGCAATATTTGATCTCCCTAGAAGTGGTCAAGATACTGGCACTATTCTACACTGCTTTAGTAAAAGAAGAAACCGCAAATATAGCTCCATTTATTTAAAAAAAATTTCTTTATTGAATTTTTTGAGAGAGAGAGAAAGAGAGAGGGAGTGAGATAGAAACACTGATGAAAGAGAACATTGACTGGCTGCCTCCTGCATGCCCCACACTGGGGATTTGGCCTACAACTTGGGTATGTGCCCTGACTGGGAATCAAACTGACAACCTCTTGGTGGACAGGTTGATGCAAAACCAGTGAGCCAGACCAGCCAGGCTGATACTTCTCCATTTTAATCTACCAAGTCAAACGATTCACCAATAAGCACAAATCCATTTAGGAGAGTAATCCTTAGAGATGTACATTTCTGAAATATAATTCAACAGAATAAGCCGCCCTGGCCGGTTTGGCCCAGCGGTTAGAGAGTCAGCCCGCAGACCAGAGAGACCAAGTTCGGTTCCTACTAAGGGCACGTACCTTGGTTGCAGTTTGTCCCTGGCCCCGGTTGGGGTCATGTGGGTGGCAACCAGTTGATATTTCTCTCTCACATTGAAGTTTCTCTCTCTCTCTTCCTTCCCCTCTCCCTCCTGCTCTATCTGAGGATAAATGCAAAAATGTCCTCAGGTGAGGATAAAAAAACAAAACAAAAACAAAAACAGCATAAGTCATCTTTACAGCTTATCTCCATAATGACAGTGAAATGCATGCAGAGAAATTCTGGCAATCAGACTCACATCCAGAGAATTCTTTTGTAATTGTTTTGGATCTCTCAAATGGACACCAAAGTCCAGTGGTGCTGACAGGGTCTCTGAACTTTCTGGACAGAACTGGGATCCAAAGAGGAACTGAGAATCACTGAGACTGGAGTGATCAGTCTGATTACTAGTCCAGTTAGATGACTTGGTGGTCCTGAAATTAAGTAAGAAAATAAAAGTGTAGTAAGTAGAAAACATCCGGAATAAATAAAATCATAATTTACAACTATTCATTTCAGAATATTCTGGGCAGAGTGCTAGCTTGTTCTGACCTCCTAGTCCCCTGAACACTGCCAGCACAACCTATGAAGAAGCAAGAAAATTTTGAATGCCAGCCATTTTTATTACAATAACCTGGGGACAATCAGATGGGAATTGAAACAATCACACCATTATTCCTTGTACAATAGCACTGTAGGCTATAACACCATTTTGGAGATCAAAGTTCATAAAATCTTTAGGGATTAAGAGAATTTTCCTTTATTATTATTATTTTTTATTCCTCACCCGAGGATATTTTTCTATTTATCTTCCGATAAAGTGGGAGGGAAAGAGAGAGAGAAACATCCACGTGAGAGGCACACATCAACTGGTTGCCTTCCACACAACCCTGACCAGGGCCTGGACGAACTGCAACTGAGGTACATGGCTTTGACCAGAATCGAACCCGCGACTCATTGATCAGTGGGCTGTTGCTCTACTGCTGAGCCAAATCAGCCAAGGCGAGAACTTTATCTTTTAAAAAGTTGACTCTTTTGCCCTGGCCAGTTTGGCTCAGCGGTTAGAGCGTCGGCCTGCGGTCCAGAGAGACCCGGGTTCGGTTCCCGCTAAGGGCATGTACTTCGGTTGCAGTTTGTCCCCGGCCCTGGTTGGTCGTGTGGGTGGCAGCCACTCAATGTGTCCCTTCACATCGATGTTTCTCTCTCTCTCTCCCTTCCTCTCTCTCCCTCCCACTCTATTTGTACAAAAAATGGAAAAATAACCTCGGGTGAGGATAAAAAAAAAAAAGTTGACTCTTTTCATCATTAAGGGAATAGATAAAAAATAAAATATAGTATATGTATATAACTGATGCAGTAGTCAGAATCAATAAGTTAGATTTACACATGAATAAGTCTCAAAACATAATTTTAAGTGCAGGAAAAAAGTAAAAACTGAATGAACACTATTACATATCGTTTATGTAAACTTTTAAACCCACAACCTAGTGTCCTTATAAGAAGAGACACCAAAGAGCTCTTTCTCTCTCAAGTGAGGACACAGCAAGAAGGTGGTTGTCTGCAGGCCAGGAAGGAAGCTTTCACCGGAAACCAATTATGCTGGCCTAGAGTTCTAGGATTTCCAACCTCCAAAACCGTGAAAAAATAAAGTTTTGTTGTTTAAGCCATCCAGTTTACGGTAGTTTGTTTTGGTAGCCCAAGCAGACTACCAATATGGGCTGAAGAATATGGTCAACTCAAATTTGTGCACAAGAGGATCCATTAACGATTGTTTTGAAATAAGGTATTGTTCCCATTCACACTTTTCATGCTTTATCCTTGGTTTGCTTTAAATATTCCAGCTGTGAACTTCAAACTTCCTTTCCGTAGATATCTATGCCAGTCTTTGAAACCTCACATATGAAAGATCAGATAGGGATACTGATATGATGCAATCATACTTGAACACGTGTACTGAGCCTACTAGAGAGAGCATATAAATAGGACAAGTAAAACAGTCTTCAAGTTTTTATTTGAAAAACACCTCAACAATCTGTATTATTTAATGCTGTTGTGTAACCCAAGAAAACATGCTTTTCATTAAAACACATGCACACAAATCATTCCTTTTCCAAGTGTTAAAGTAATTAGATAGCATATAAATACATATTCTAAGCTAACGAAACCATCATATATTAATACAATCAGATAGAAACATTAATAGTTCAGCACAGGGAAGAGTTATTATTTTGACTCATAGAATCATTCTCTAAGATTAGCTAAGGTAATGGACTGCATGCATATATTATAATATAGATTGCATAATCATTACAAAACAGCTCTGTGAGCCTACAGAAATAGTGTAGGATTTACATCTTAAAGCTATGATCTGGATTAAGCAAAGATTTTTTCCTTACTCTGTATCAACTTTCGAGAAATAAAAAGAAAAGTGCTCTAGGTTTTTGCTGAATTAATAACTGTCTTTAGGAAGGTGTTAGGAAGAAAATAAACTAGCCTTGTCAGGCTGGTGTGGCTCAGTTGCTTGAGTATCGTCCCATGGACTGAGAAGTCCCAGTTTAATTCCTGGTCAGGGCACATGCCTGGGTTGCAGGCTCAATCCCCAGCAGGGGGCATGCAGGAGGTGGCCAATTGATGTACCTCTCTCACTCTCTCACATTGATGTTTCTATCTCTCTCTCCTTTCCCCCCTCTCTTAAAAAAATCAATAAAAATATTTAAAAAATTATCCAATGATAAAAGCATACCAAAAGCAGTAAGAAATCCCTTAAATATATACTACTTCTGGGACACACCCACCAAGTTAGCAATGGCAGACCTACTGCATGGCTGGTAGACACCAATGGAGCAGTAGTAGAGGAGGCAATATCTCAGTGAGTCTTTTCAACAGCTGGAGTGGCTCATAACTCCATAGTACCTAAAAATTGTACTACACAACTGAACACATATCTGGACATTGTTTTGAACTCCCTCCTTGCTATTTCAATAGCAATCACTCCACTGTAGTGAGAGCTTCTAAATGTTGGACAATGTCTAACTCTCATAGGCATTAATAGTCCCTAGGCCCAGTGCTGAACAAAGAGTCATTGCTCAATTAATATACATAGTTGAATTGACATTGCTTTTATAATCATAAAATAAGTAAAAGAAAAAAAGACATGTATGGGAGGGTGCAGTAGTGATAAGTGAGGGGAAGAAAGTATATGGGGCAACTCTATTACTATAAACCAATAGGAAAGGGAGCCTCTTTCTATGAAATCAATACAACTAAAAGATCTTAAGTATCAGAATATATAATCGGAAAACTTACCCAGAGCCTGAGGGAATACTGAGCATATCTTTGATATTCCAGACGTTAAAATTCATTTCGTATGATTATCCCTATTTTTAAAAAGAGAAATATTAATTTAAAAAGTTAATATCACCCCCCCACCCCACCAAGATTGTTTTACTGGTGATTATATGTAGATGAGGACATTTCAGTAGTTATATTTTCACCAGTTAGTGAAAATTCCCATTAGCCATGTGCCAGAAACAGGTATTCTGTTGTTACACTGCATATAATTTTTTCTCCTTCTTAATACCACCAAGGAGAGCCCAATCACCTATGACATAGTAAATCCGACTTCCATCCTCTGCTCTCTAGTCCTTTCTCTTGCCACCCTACTAATAATCTTTTAGGAAAAGACCAATAAATCCCATTTTTCATTGCCTGATACAATAATGTATAACCTTCCCAAATGATAGGATATTGGAATGCTAAGAGAGCTGAGGAACTGGGCAGTAAAGCTAGATGAAGAGTGAGTGGTTTGTGCAAAAGTGCTTTTCCAGCCCTGGCCAGTTTGGCTCAGCGGTTAGAGCATCGGCCTGCGGTCCAGAGAGGCCCAGGTTCGGTTCCCGCTAAGGGCACGTACCTCGGATGCAGTTTGTCCCCGGCCCTGGTTGGGTTGTGTGGGTGGCAGCCACTCAATGTGTCCCTTTCACGTCGATGTTTCTCTCTCTCGTTCTCCCTCCCACTCTATCTGAACTAAGAAAGGAAAAATGTCCTCGAGTGAGGATAAAAAAAAAAAGTGCTTTTCCACACCTCTCATAAGTAGGCGTGCCTACTCTGCTCACGCCAATACAATAAACTGCATACTACTACATAATACAATAAACTGCATACTACTACATACGGTTCATTATAATGATCATATGGCCTAGATTTTATGTAACAAGTCCAAATTCTAGTTTGTCTCCCTGATCTCACAGAACATTCATATGTATCAGATTACATATTACCACTGAGGGTTATCAGAGGATGATTCCTACACATATGGTGGACATATTTCATCAAATATCAAATACTGTTCCAACATAGATCTGAATAAAATAAGTTCTGAAAAAATATAGACATTTAGTATACTTTTTTTTTTTTATCCTCACCCGAGGACATTTTTCCATTTTTTGTATAGATAGAGTGGGAGGGAGAGAGAGGAAGAGAGAGAGAGGGAAACATCGATGTGAAAGGGACACATCGAGTGGCTGCCACCCGCACGACCAACCAGGGCCGGGGACAAACCGCAACCGAGGTACATGCCCTTAGCGGGAACCGAACCCGGGTCTCTCCGGACCGCAGGTGGACGCTCTAACCGCTGAGCCAAACTGGCCAGGGCTTTAGTATACTTTTCATATAATTTAACCTTTAGAGAAATCTGTTACATTGAAATGTTCTAATTTTCTAGAAAAACACAAATTTGGGTGTTTATAACAACCTGTTTTGTAAGAATGTTAAGTATACACCACAGGACCATGGTGATAAAGGCACTACCATTTACACAGCCCCAACTATGTGCCAGGTGCAGTGCTAGATACACTGAAAGATACAAGGTTAATGATTTTGTGAGGCAGGTATTTAAAATGTTTTTTTTCTTTAAAATAAAATATTTTAGCCCTGGCCGGTTTGGCTCAGCGGTTAGAGCAACGGCCTGTGGTCCAGAGAGACCCAGGTTCAGTTCCCGCTAAGGGCACGTACCTCAGTTGCAGTTTGTCCCCGGCCCTGGTTGGGTCGTGTGGGTGGCAACCACTCGATGTGTCTCTGTGAACGTCGATGTTTCTCTCTCTCTCTCTCTCTCCCTCCTACTCTATCTGAAAAAAATATATATATATATGTATATATATATATATATATATATAATTTGTTTTTCTTTATTGATTTTTAGAAAGAGAGGAAGGCAGAGGGAGAGAGATGGAAACAACGATGAGAGAGAACATCGATTGGCCATCTCCTGTATGCCCCCCTGGGGATTTGGCCCACAACCTGGGCATGTGCCCTGGCAGAGAATTGAACTGGTGACATCTTGGTGCATGGGTCGGTGCTCAATCACTGAGCCACACCAGCTGGGCATGAGGCAGGTATTTTTTTCCTCATATAAATAAAATTATAGATGTAAGAGGGGACGTTACAAAATGAAAAGGCAATCTACAGAATGGGAGAAAATAGTTAGAAATCACATATCTAGTAAAGCATTAATATCCAAAATATATAAAGAGCTCATATAAATGCAATAGGAAAAAAAAAAAACCCAAACTGATTAAAAATTTACAGAAGGGCCTGGCCAGTATGGTTCAGTGGTTGAGCGTCGACCCATGCACCGAGAGGTTGCTGGTTCAATTCCTGATCAGGGCACATGCCTATATTGCGGGTTCGATCCTCGGTAGGGGGTGTGCAGGAGGCAGCCAATCAATGTTTCTCTCTCATTGATGTTTCTAACTATTTCTCCTTCTCCCTTCCTCTCTGTCTAAAAATCAATAAAAATATATTTTAAATTTTTAAATAAAATAAAAATGAACAGAAGAACTGAACAGACATTTTTCCAAAGAAGACATACAAATGGCCAACAGGTACATTAAAAGGTGCTCAAAGTCACTAATAATCAGGGAAATGCAAATCAAAACCGCAATAAGAGATCACCTCACACTTGTCAGACAAAAGGAAAATATTAGCAAGAAAGTGGAGAAAAGGGAACCTTTATGTATTGTTGGTAGTAATTTAAATTGGTGCACTATGGAAAATGGTAATGGATGTTTCTAAAAAAAGTGAAAAATAGAGCTACCATATGATCCCTCAATTCCACTTCTGGATATATGTTAAGAAGAAGATAAAGACAGGATATTGAAGAGATATCGGCACTCCCATGTTCACTGCAGCATTATTCACAATACCCACTATGAAAACAACCCAAATGTCTCTCAATGGATGAATGGCTGAAGAAGATGTGCTGTAAATATACTACATACAATGGATTATTATTCAGCCATGAAAAAGAAGAAAATCTTGCCATTTATGATAACATGGATGGACTTTGAGGGCATTATGTTAAGTGAAGGAGGCCAGACAGAAAAAGACAAATACTGTATGGTATTATTTATACTGTGTGTTGAATCTAAAAAAAAAAGGTAAGAAAAGTGGTTGCCAAAGGCTGGAGGGTATGAGAAATAGGAAGAGGTTGGTAAGAGTACAAACTTTCTGCTCTAAGAGGAATAAGATCTGAGGATCTAAGTATAGCATGGCGAATATAGTTGATAAAACTGTATTGTATAATTGAAATTTGCTGAGAGTAGAACTTAAATGGTCTCACCAAATAAATAAATAAAATAGGTGAGGTGACAGATGTGATCAGTAACTAGAAAGGGAAATCCTTTCACAATATATCTCAAATCTTTGTGATAAATGCTTTAAATATCTTACCATTTTATTTGTCAATTATGCTCAATATTATATTATACTCATTTATATTCAGTAAAGCTGGAAAAAAACTTAACAGGTTCAAAAGCTATATGTGGAAAGCTATAAACCATTCCTGAACAATGAGAAAGATATATAATGACTTTAAATAGGAAGATTCAACATTACAAAGACATTATTATCTCTAAGTTAATTTATTACTTTGAAATAATCCCATTAAAAATACCATCAGGCCCTGGCCGGTTTGGCTCACTGGTTAGAGCTTCGGCCTGCGGTCCTGAGAGACCCGGGTTCGGTTCCCGCTAAGGGCATGTGCCTCGGTTGCAGTTTGTCCCCGGCCCTGGTTGGGTTGTGTGGGTGGCAACCACTCGACGTGTCCCTTTCACATTGATGTTTCTCTCTCTCTCTCCCTCCCACATTCTATCTGAACAAAAAAATAGAAAAAATGTCCTCAGGTGAGGATAAAAAAAAACAAAACCATCAGGCCCTGGTTGGTTTGGCTCAGCGGTTAGAGCATTGGCCTGCAGTCCAGAGAGACCCAGGTTTGGTTCCTACTAAGGGCACATGCCTCGGTTGAGGTTTGTCCCCGGTCCTGGTTGGGTTGTGTGGGTGGCAGCCACTTGATGTGTCCCTTTCACGTCGATGTTTCTCTCTCTCTCTCTCTCTCTCTTCCTCTCTCTCTCTCTCACTCTATCTGAACAAAAAATGGAAAAATGTCTTCAAGTGAGGATAAAAAAAAAATACCATCAGTTTTTTTCTGCAGGTATAAAATTGATTATAAAGTTTATTTGAAAAGACACAAGCCAGCCCAGTCAGGAAAATCCTGAGATAAAAGGAAAAAAGATGAGGGAGGAAAGGGGATGGAGTACAAGTACTGTCAGTTATTAAAACATATTATAAAGCTTTGATAATTTTACAGCTTTATATTGGCCCATGATTGGGTAGAATAGAGTACAACAATGGATCTAATAAAAAATGGAATATAATATGTATATGATAAAGGTAGTATCTCAAATATACTGAGGATAGATAGATTTTTTTTAAAGTAGAGTTGGGGCCCTGGCCGGTTTGGCTCAGCGGTTAGAGCGTCGGCCTGCGGTCCGGAGAGACCCGGGTTCGGTTCCCGCTAAGGGTACGTACCTAGGTTGCAGTTTGTCCACAGCCCTGGTTGGGTTGCGCAGGAGGCAGCCACTCGATGTTTTCCTTTCACGTTGATGTTTCTCTCTCTCTCTCTCTCTCTTCCTCTCCCTCCCTCCCACTCTGTCTGAACAAAAAATGGAAAAATGTCCTCGGGTGAGGATAAAAAAAAAAAGTAGAGTTGGGATAACTGAATAGCCTTTGAAAACACGTAAGATTGAATCTAGTCCTTTCACCATACCCCATAAAATATTCCAAATGGATTAGTAATAATATAAAAATGCAACCATAAAAGTACTGAGGTGGGGAATGGGTAAATTCCTTTATAGCCTGGAAGTGGGGACAACTATGACTCAAAATCCAGAATTAATAAGAGAAAACAATGACAAATTTGACTTTGTCAAAATTTTTAAAAGAAAATGTATGTCACATAAGAAGTCTTACAGAAAATGGTCAAGACATATGAACCAACAGTTCACCGAAAAAGAAACTTAAAGGTCCAGAGAGACCCGGGTTCGG